CACTAGAGCAACCATTTTGCTCCTTTTTTATATAAAATTTTCCTGTCAAATGTCAATTTTAAGGTTAATTTGTGAGTATGGTAAATTTTGATGTTTGATGACAGCCCTGATGAGCTATGCGACGCCTTGTGGTCGATAGATACTCCTCCTTTATTTAGTCTTCTTGCCAGGAAGACTTATAAGGTTGATTAACATTTCATGACAGTTTTCGTCAAAAAATTAAAACAAATTTTAACTGTTTATGTTTGAACCGTCAGAAAGGTACTTCTTTGACAATGTGTATACTATAGTTCAGAATAGCAATTTTAGGTTTTGTCTTGATTTTTAAACTTTTTTTAGGTTTTGTCTTGATTTTTAAATAAACTGAAATGAAATTAACTCAACAAAATTTTGAAAAACAAAAAACGCAAATTTCCACACAAATGACGTAAATTGTTTCTGAACTCATTGCTACCAATTTTATAAGCGAAAAACCGCTAAAAAGATAAAACAAATGAATAAACGTTGTTTCTGGCATTTAATTTGGCTCGCATCGGTTTCTTTTGCGCGTCGGTCTCCACGTTAAGAATAAATGAAATTCCTGTTGAAGATAAAGCGAATAATTTGAAAGATAGAAAATTGCCGCGAACACGGATTGGCATTGGTATTAAATCAATGTTTCTCGGGACGTGTAACATACGAAAAAGATAAGGGAACACCACTGTCAATAGTTGATATTTCACATTAAAAGCCGTTTGACGCTAATGGAATATACCAGACGCGAGCAAGCAAGCGCGGTTGCGAAATTTATCGCAGCATTTCACACTAAATAAACTGTGAGATATTGCCGACGAGCGTCACCCGAAAAGCACTGATTTGCGTTTGTTTGCATGAGGTGCTAGATTTTTCTTCGTTAAAATGAACGCCTACTTGAAAAATCTTCTCATTTTTACCTTTTGGTTTTATAGTATTTTTTTTTAATTTTAAAATTTTAATGGAGTTTTTTCTTCTAGTTTTAAAAATATATAATTTTTTTTATTAGCGTTTTGTTAAAAATTTTTTTTTAAATTTGTAATAATCATAGTTGCCATAGATATAATTACGCGCAGCTACTTTGTTGGTTGGTATCTATGTCTTTTATCTATGATCTATGTACTCACAGAAAACAAGTGTGGCGTATCACAAAAAATATAAAAAACTGCATATTTTTTATTTACACCTTATGTTAAAGGTATTCAGTATTTTAATATTTTACATTAATAACATAACACCCTGTAAGTATACAAATTATATATTTTTGAAATTAGAATAAAAACTAAATATTCAAAAATATACATTAAAAACACAATGTTATAGGTTCAAAAAAATCTTTTTTTTTGTTTTTTTTCTCGGAACCACGTTCAAAAGTTTCGTATAGATATAAAAATGAGCCTGTGAAAAAATGAGCTCTTAATTTCAAAATTTTCGTATAATTTGAACATTGATTAAATTTCTTTAGAAGGATCAAATTTATCAAAAAATCATAAGAAACCTTTTTTATAGAGCGTTCAATTAATTTTCTACAAAAATATGTCAAGAACTTTACAGTACGTTACAAAAATAAAAAGAAACAAAAATAAATGTTATTCTTATGGAAAATCGAAAAGTGCGATTTTGAAATTAAGAGCTCATTTTTTCACAGGCTCATTTTTATATCTAAACGAAACTTTTAAGCGTGGTTTCGCGAAAAAAAACAAAAAAAGTGTATTTTGAATCACTCTAATATGTATATATACATATTTGTATAATATACATATTATGTAGGTATATATCTATTTTATCGATTTTACCGATGCTTTTTTGTTTTTTAATTTTTGTCAAAAAAATTATATTTTTTCAATGAGTCCTTATACAATTTTTAAAAGTTTTGAATTTATGAATATTTTTTATTTGAATTTTTTTATATTTCTATTTAATACAAATTAGCCATTAAAAATATTACAGAAAATTATTAAAAAACTAAATTTATAAAAGTGTTATTTTTGAAATGTCAAAATGACAAAAAAATAGATTGTTTTATTTTTTTTCGTAATATTGCGGGACTTTTTTTTGGTTCACCCTAAATGTATATTTCTTTCGGAATTTAAATGCTAAAACATACATGTATTTTTTAGTTTTCTTGGATAACTTTTTAATATTGTTAAGGCACTTATTGAAAGAAGCCCCTCTTGTCTGTACTTTTTAGTCTTTTTTCTACTCCCACCTTTAAAACGCCCATTATCGTACATGTTTCCATGACACTAAGTGACCTTTTAAATACACATTGACAAGTTGTGGCTTTATGGCGCTTTAGTCACGGGCTGAAGTTGGTTTTAAGTTTTCAAATGTCATGACATGTATGCATACAATCGTTAAAATAAAGTGCCTTTCTTGAAAAATAATACTAAATGTGAAAATTATTTTATTATCTCAATACAAAAATACAAAAGTATTAAATAGTTTCTCAACGCCAATAGGTATTTGAAAAGTTTATATGAACATTGTACTGACCTTTTAATTTCGCCGGCAGTAAACTATAACTTAAATTCGGGAACGGACTCCACTGTAAAGTGCTCATAAAACCTTTCCTTTACTTTCACTGTGAAAAACTGTAAATTTTTAAGATAGGTACATTTCGATTTATAACCTTTATAATTGTGTTTATAAAATGTAAAAATTTGACATTTGACGGTGACACACAGATTCCCATATTGTTTTACAGATGGCGCTCTATTCAAATATTTGATTTAAATCATTTTAAGATAATAATAAGTATTTGTCGTAGAAAAAGTATATATAAACTTTTCTATACACTCATTAATTTAAGAACTCGGTCGCAGGCTCGCTTGTGCCTAAATTAAATTCGTGTATAAAATGGCGTTTATCAAACTTGATACATAATATACTATTAATTGATGCTTGAATTTTTTTCTTGTTTTTAAAGGAATTTTATTGTAGAACATTGACTTTTACAAAGAATTTTTTCTTTATAAATATAGGTATTCATTTTTGTTATTTTTTATAACCACTTTCTTAAATTAGAGTTTTTTATCCATCTTTTGGCTACGATTTTTTACTGTATTGTTCCTTTTTTATTCCTCTTATTTTAATTAATTTGTAGTTGTAGTTTGTAATAATGACCGAGGATGCACAGGATGTTTTAAAAGAATAACTTTAAGTAATTTTACATAAAAATTTAATTTTAAATTTGTCCTTATTTTCAAATAAAACCTTGCGGCAACGGCAACACTGTCCTCGAGCTGAATAGTTATTTATTGTTGCCGCTTTTCGAATCCCGGCTATCGTCTAATCTGATTGAAAATAATGCATTAAAAGCTTTTGAATTTGTTGTACAAATATTGGCGATTTCTATCTCTCGAACAGTCGAGGAGCGCGAGGAAAGCAAATCAAGCCAGCAAGCGTACGCAATGTTTGGTTTACCGCACGATACCGTAATTGATTGACTGTCAACAACAACAAATAAATAAATACAGCCATTTAGAAAAAATGTTTCCTTTTTCCGGTGACATTATTTTTCAGTGGATTTTTTCTTTGTGCACTGTAAAAAAGGATTTCTTCAGCCAAGTTAAATTAACTTCATTCAAGATACTAAATGATTCCTATCTCTTCGAAACAATATTTTCTTGCCAGCAGTCAAAATTATTCTTGTGTTACATGTTTTCCTCGGAGAATATATTTTCTCCTTTTTAAGAACGTAAGCACTGCTTTATTAAGCAGTCTTAAACGAATGATAAAAACTCTTGTTATTAAAATTGTCGCATTTTGGGTCGAGAATAAATATTCTTGAATAAAAAATAAAATTACTTGAGAAAAAAAAACAAAAATAATTGAGTTTTGGTGGAGTAGTAATTATTCTTCATTCAAGACATTATTCTTCGCATTAATCAAAGGAATTCTTCAAGATTTTGTGTCTTGCGTTAATAAAATGTATTCTTGGTTAAAGATAATATTTATTTCAGAGACGAGTACTTCTTCAAACAAGTATTTGAAATTTTCTTCAGTATAGTTAATATTTAAGCTACATTCGGGATTTTTAAAAAGCAGAGGGGGGTAAACAATTTTGAACTTTTTTGACACAAAGATTTATTTACAAATAAATAAAAATAAAAATGTACATGGTGTCAAAAAAAGTTAAAAAATGGTTTACCCCTACTTTCTGGAGTATTCCATTCAGTCAATAATGACCTAATGTCTACGGCACTGTAATCGTTCGAATAATCACTCATTTTTAAATATTTAAGTAAACACAAGCACGGTTACTTTTCAAATGAGGGTGTAGGACGTATGAAACAAGTTTATCCCCTCCGTAAATACAAGAAATTATCTAATAATTATTCTTGAAACGAAAAGTCAAACGATCAGATTTTCTTAATACAAGAACAATAAATTTTAATATTCTTCAAGTAAAATTTACAAGCCCTGATTCTCTTGTCCCAAGAAAAGGGTAATTTTTAGAAAATAAGAAATATTTTACTTGAATTAACGCAATGCGTTCCTTCAATGAAGAAAAATTCCTGAACCTGAAAAAATTTCAAGAAATATATTTACTATTTAAAAAAAATTGAACATTCTTGTAACAAAACATTCGTCTTAAATTAAATCAAATTAACTCTATTCAAATAAATATTTTTACGAAAAATAAAATTCTATATCTAAGAAATCCTTTTTATCCGTGTGGTTTGGTTTTTTTGTAATTTTACATTTTTTTAAGGCATTCTACATTTTCTTGCGACATTTTTACTTTGCTATGGCTCACACGAAATCCCGGCAAACTCTTTGCTCAAAATTTTTATTCATGACAATCTAAAACTCTTAAAAACTACTGTGAGAACCTAAATGAAACGCACTCGAAATTTGTTACAATTAATCAACATTTACGCGAACCATTGTGCAAACACTTAAACTTCAAAATCGCCCTATCAAACCTCCCAATAAATTAATTACAATGAATTCAATAAATCAATTGTTTTCCCTTGTTTCAGCTGAGCTGAAGATGGATGTCCTGCGCGAAAGAGGAGAGAAGGACAACTTGGAAAAACAGTTAGTTGAAGAACAAAAAATTAGAGGTGAGTGATGTGTTTAATGAGTTTTGATCAGTATAAGGGGTAAGGGAGTTGCTTATATATACAGGGTGTCCTGAAATTAGTGCACCATACTTTAACAGCAGATTCTACGTGCAAAAATAAGAAAAAAGTCCCAATAAACATAGGTCAAGAAATGCCTCTTAAGGGAGCTACAGCCCCCAAAAATAAAGCACCTGTAGATGGTTTTTATTTAATATCTCCAAAACCGTTAAAGATTAAAAAGTGAAATTTGGGGAATTAATTAAACTTTTTATGACCAATAAGACGTAACAATAAAAATTTAACAAATTTCATGAGGTTTGGGTCAGATTGATAGGAAGTGGGGTTAAAACCACCCTATTTTTTTACGTATCTTGTAAAAGAATTTGATGTCAGATTATGAAATTTTGCACATAAAAAAGGTCATCTTGTTGAACTTTGACAAGATACCCAGTTTTCGCTTGGAATAGATTTGAAAATTATTTTACCTGACATAAAAATTCACAATTAAATCACAACCATAGAAATGGACTCGCGTGGTCCTTGGAAAACGGCTGCCATGTTTAGAAAAAAATAGAATAATTAATTAATAATTATAAATATTAGATAATAGCTATTTACATACCATGGGAGGAAAATAGTGCTTTTCCTCCCGCGAATAGTTTGATGCCCGACGCGAAGCGAAGGGCATTAAATATTCAAGGAAGGAAACGCATTTTCCTCCTGAGGTATGTTTATATAACCTGGTATGGGGCTATAAAATTATGACAAAATATTAAGTAGTTGTTGCGTTGACGACGTTATGTTGACAACGCTTTGTTGCTATGGTATTTTTGGAAATACAAACATAACAGTTTTTATAATCTGTCAGAATGTTTATCATAAATTTGAAACTCTTCCTACGTTTTAAAAATGAGTTCTAGCGAAGAAGACCTGCCGCAAGATCTTGCTAAAAAGGCAAGAATATTTCCTTAAAAATCGAAAGAGCTACATGAAAATACAAAATCAAATAGGGATAGACAATGTACAAAAACTCTTGCTTATGTAAAATTGTTAAAAAAAAGAGAGGGAGGAAATTTTTTTTCCTCCCGGGGAGGAAAAGAGGCATTTTCCTCCCTCGCTCGGGGGTGGAAAATTAAGTTTTCCAGTAAGGTAGTAGAAAAAAACCATATTCAAGGGCTCCCTTTTCGGGGGCTGTAGCTACCTTAGGAGGCATTTATCAAACTTTTTTTGACTTTTTTTCTTAATTTTGCACGTAGAATCTGCTGTTAAAGTATGGTGCACTAATTTCGGAACACCCTGTATATGGGGCATTCCACGCCAAATCGGATGGTTTCAAAATTTACTGAGAAAGCTCTTTCAAGGAGTACTAAAAAATATAAAAAAATTGGAGGAATCAAAAAATTTTTTTTTTAAACCATCCGATTTGGTGTGGAATGCCCCATATACATATAAGTACGAGTATACTTAATTCTTATATTTTCTTTGTTTTATTTATTTTTTTTATTCATAATGGTTTAGTAGGGCTATTGTGGAATTGTTCTCGTATTTAGACAAAGTCTAAGAGCGTTAAATCGTAGGTTCTTGGTGGCCACCTAGCACCACCACCACGCGCAGTTCAAAATAGGTCATTATTTACATTAATCGTTATAAAATAATTTTCTAACCTTTAAATCTAATTTTGTTGATCAGTCTAATCCATCACAATTTTCTTGTTTTGTTATTCTTTCATATTGTATTGTTCTTCCAAAAGACTGCAGACGCGTTGTCTAACCAAGCATATTGTTTGGCGAAATTTTTACAGACATCATTGTTTTACCTAAACTTTTATCTACAAGTGCTTGTTTTCGTATTGTTTCACTTAAACTCTTTTATAGTGTTTGTATTGTTTTTCATAGAAAGTCCTGTAATGTTAATTACAGACCACTGAAGAGCCGTATGTATTGTCTTTTCATTACAAATTTAACAATTGATGTATAAGTATTAATTACAACGTTGGTATCGATTTAATTGTTATTGTTTTATTTTATTCAAATCGTGCGACCTTTATATTCGTCTTAAGTTTTAGGGGTAATAAAAATAAAACACCCTGAATCAAAGAATATCGATTGCGAAAAAAATCACATAAAATTTTGTAAAATAAATCATGTTTGATTTCTTTAAAGAAAACCAGAAAAGCGAACAAGACAAGTACGAGGTATAAAATATCATTGATATTCTGTATCGTACAGTTTAGCCCGTGCTAATATCTGAAGATTGATGGCATTTCTGTCAATGGCACATCGCCAGAATAAATCATGAAGGGAGGACGACCGCACGTATTTCCGACTCAGTTTTTACTCAAATATATTTTCGATAAGTTATCTTCCACAAAAAAGAAAATGTTTGATGTATCTTAAAAGGGCTTTCAATTAAAAACTTACTCCTTAATAACTTTTGAGTTATGGGTGAATATATTGAGATGTCCCCCAAGTGAAAATGAATTTTTTTTGGTTGTTTCACTGATGTTCTAGAATGGGGTTTTAGGGAAGCCACCAGGTCTAGTAATAACATAACACATCTGCACTAATGCAAGAATTTTAAGAAATCATACATTTTGAATATTAGAGCTTCACGGAGGTTAGGATTTCGTATGTTTTTTTAAACATCCCTTTGTGTATTTGAAAGTTATTGCATCTTTTGACACCTTAATATTTTTTAAAAATACAATTGTACTATTATACAGTGTGTCCGTAAAGTCCCAGAACATGTGATTATTTTGAAAACGGTAATTTTTTTTTAAAAACGCTGAAACACGCCAACTTTGATATTTTTCTAGCAATATTTTAGCATATGTAGTTGTTCCAAATTCTGCCGCGTGGCGGCGCCACAATCAAAGTCAGTTTTTTTTAAATTGCAACCCTTTATTTTTGTTGCATTTTTTGATAGCTACCGTTGTCCTGATTACATTGATGTGCCACATCTGGGGGGTTACATAAGAAAATTTTTGAGAAAATCAGGTTTTTGCCGCCGAATGAGATTTTGGTATTTTGTCAAACTTACACAATCTATGCGTTGCTTAATGTTTTTTGGAAAGCCAATCAGAGCAGTTGCTCAAAGTGTCCACCGTAAACTATTTGGAAATGGAACAGCCTGTCTACAAACGAGCGTTGTACGTTTGCCAGTACCGCTGGAGTGATCATCTGGATCTCGGCTTGAATGCGGTGTCTTAGGTCGTCCAAATTTTAAGGCCTGTTTACATAGACGCGGTTTTTAAGAGGTCCCCATAAAAAGAAGTCTAAAGGGTTCAAATCGGGCGATCGCGCTGGCCACTCAATTTGACCCCTTTGACCTATCCAGCGATTGGGAAAGACCTGATTTAAATAATCCCTTAATAGCAATGCATAGTGCCCCATAAAAGCGAATAAGTTCGTCAAAACCAAAATCTTAATCAGCGGCAAAAACCTACTTTTCTCAAAAATTTTCTTATGTAACCCTCCACATGTAGCATATCAATGTACTCAGGACGACGGTAGCTATCCAAAAATGCAACAAAAATTAAGGGTTGTAATTTAAAAAAACCTTACTTCGATTGGGGCGCCGCCACGCGGCAGATTTTGGAACAACTACATATGCTAAAATATTGCTAGAAAAATACCAAAGTTGACGTGTTTCAGCGTTTTTTAAAAAAAAATACCGTTTTCAAAATAATCACATGTTCCGGGACTTTACGGACACACTGTATATGCTCCATTTATGTATCTGACAAAATATAGTCAACGAAAGAAATAATTTTATGTTTAGGCGTTAAAAATGTATAAATCTTTATAACAGCACAATAACAATGGATGGTTTAAGAATTTAAGAATATAAATACTGCATTTAATGAAATTCTAAAGTGTATGGTGCCAAATAAGTAATGTTTTTGTGCATTTGGTCCAAATATCTGGTTTTCTCCATAAAATAATTTTAACTAAACAGCATTTATTTAAAAAAATGTAGCTTCTCTATTATGGAATAAGAATATCTGTATTAAAGGTAGGTTAATATAATATAACAAAAATATCATCTAATTTTGTAATTTTAAGGTTAGAAAAATTTATTTTTACCAAAATAAATAAGTAGTTTGGATTATTTAAAATACTGTATAATATGGTATTTAAAAATGTGGTAGTTTTACTTATCCAGCTTAAAGTGTACCTACATAAAGTTTTGTCAATACAAATAGTTAAAAAGCTTCGAGTAAATTTGATCTACATCAAAAAATCATTATAACTTTAAAAATTTTAATAAATCACATGTCATGGGAGTATTAAATATTTTCACATTTTTCACAAGTTTCACAAGTTTCTCTAAAAATTGTTTGTTTTCTTATAATCTAACTTTAAGTCAGTATGCCGAGAGGTATGCACAAGTTTTGTCGTTAGAAGTATAAAAGCTTCAATTCAATTTGAAGTATATTCAACAATTATTTAGTATACCTATATTTATTTTTGACCATATTAACACACTCTATTACTTTGGTCAAAATAGATTTTTCTAACCTTAAAATACAAAATTAGATGATATTTTTTGTTCAATTACATTAACCTACCTTTGATACAGATATTCTTATTTCATAATAGAGAAGTTAGTTTTTTTTTTAATTAATGTTTAGTTAAAACTATTTTATGGAGAAGTGTAGACCCAATGCACAAAAATATCACTTTGGAATTTCATTAAATGCAGTATTTATATTCCTAAATTCTTAAACCAACCATTGTTATTGTGATACTATAAAGATTTATTAACTTTTAACGCTTAAATAATATTATTTCTTTTATTGACTATACTTTGACAGATACATAACCTGAAAAGCCTTAAATGCCAAATTTTCAAAAGACTGCGTTCCGTACGTGGTCACGTGGTGGGACTTTGAGGTGTGGAGCATAGTACATAAATGGTTATAAAAATTAATATAATAATAATAATAAACTTTATTGGAAATCCAAATGGCTAACGACTTTCGTCTTCCTGCCCGATATAAAAATTATTTCTTTTAATTTTTAATAATATTTTATATTTGATTCGATTGCTTTGGATGTGTTTAATTTACTTAGTGAACTGGTGAAGTTTTCAGAAAGTAAACCTCTTGTAATAAGGAATAATCATATAATATCTTAATGTAGACACCCCAAACCAAATAAAATAAATTGTAGAATACCGAGCTAATGCCAGGGCACTGAAGTAGGTGGTGTACGGCGTAAGTCCGGGTGCTCATCTGGTGACGGCAATAAAAGTCATAATTAAATTTTACGATTGTAATGGGATATCCGTTAAATGATCCGCAATAGTAATATCTCAAAACAGTTGCGCGCTGCCTCCGGCGGAGAACCGGAGGAAAGGCGCCCGGGTCCCGGAACAGATAAATTAGAATTAGGCAAGGCGTATCAAGGTAATATTGTAAATCTTGTGTTGTAATTCGAACTGCTACAACGGGCCCGAACGAGAGAGAGTAAGACGTAGAATCAGCATAAATTTCATAATTACTTAGCTTTGGGGAGGAATATTATACCTCATATCTTCTCTTCTTGGTCTTGCACATTAAAAGAAATTAGTTCTATCGGTAACCAAGTAACTATTAATTTTATTTTTAAATATTATCAGTAAACAGAGAAAAAGTTTTTATATTGTGAATGGGTTAATCATTTTTTTTTATCTCTAAGGCTTTCGCAGTTATTTTCTTTAGAAGTAAAAATGTTTCCGGGTTTTAAGCCGTGTATCATTGTATTTCAGTTTGACGTTTCGACAGCCATGTTGCTGTCTTCTTCAGAAAACTGAAACTCAGTTTCAGAGCAATGCAATCTAAGCTGTATTTCCTTTAAATATGTATATTCTTGTGCAAATATTAGTTGTGTAATACATTAATATGAACTATAAATAAAATGAATTCTGGAAACTGCTTCTGGTAGTCTTGTGTACACAGGTTTTTCGATCCATAAAATGAAACTGTTCTGTTTTCTGTAGGAACTTTTAGGACCCCACTAGAAGTGTTGGTGATATTAGGCTCTAAGAAAGTTGCTGACCCATCACTAGCAACAGTTACTGTACTGGATGTGCAGGATCTGTCTGCCATGGCACATGGTTTTTCTAAAACGGAATAGGAATTTCATCTTATGTATTTAGAGGCGAATCCTAAAGATTGCTGAAAGTCCTAAAGCAATATATACTTTCAGGACGCCCTGCAAGGATAATATCATGATGGTACTAAAAGACTATGAGACGTTTTTTTATAAATATATAAAAACTTCGTCCATTTAAACAACATAGCTATTTTAATGCATGACACCGAATATCAAGATAAACTGTGTCCATGGTATATACCTATATGAGTACACATTTACCTTTTTGTTATTATTTAGATATAATTGAGTAATTAAATTACTGGATAATGCATGGCGGACATACAATTAAAAAACATGTACAACTTACCTTGTAAATTCGAGATTAGGAAGTACAACCCCCAAGAAATTAGCAAGTATAACAAACAACCAAACACTACCCCATCCAGAGATAACCCATACACTTATATCAATTGGCGTCACCAGAAATACCGATTAATCAGTTGATCACATTTGACTCTATGCACGTACGCGATTGCAGGTTGCCGATGTGTGGTGTGGCAGGGGATGCCCTGGCGCGTTTGTCTGGATTTTAGAAATCATTAAATTAAATATAGGCCGCATTGAAAAAATTATAATTGGGCAAATAACAAGTATTTTTCAAGACAGTGAAAACATTGTTATTCACTGTAAGACAGTAATAACTTACTTTACCTTATAACTATAGTTTCCATTGGAATAAAAATCATAAACATTAAAAGAAACAAAGACTATTCTTATTTCATTTGTTTTTAATTTTTGGTTGAAGCATTATAACTTTTAATACAAATCCATTTTATATTTAGGTAATTAAATATTGTTAATTTTACCTTGATCAGATAAACTTTGAATGCAATCATTTCTAAAATTTTCAAGGAAGTACACATTTCCATTAGGTAAATCTAAAGAGCCATTCACTGTATAACAAGTAATTTTAACTTGATAATATTTTGTTATGGGCTGAATATAATATTTGTAATAACATCAATCCCTTACCTTAATTGCTCCAAACATATTTGATTGAATAAACTTTAACTTTTATAGGAGAAATGAAAAACAATCAATTATAGCATTGTGATTGACTATGTCAAAGCGTTACTTCTACGCATTAAAAAAATATTTGTTAATTTTAACCAGAAACTTAAGTTGCACACGCTAAAATCACGAGTACTTTTTCAACTAAATAATTTTTTAAACATTAACAAAATAATCTTTGAAATTAACAAAATGCTTACAATATTGCATATAAGGACGCCCAAGATTTTCTTAGCTGCTGAAAGTATCGAGGACCTCAAGTACATGAAATTCATCTTGCGGACTGTATAACATAAAGTTATATATCCACCTAAAGGTATGAGGAGGAAGAAGGGTTGATATCAGGAATGAGTTTGATGTGTGTAAGGAACTTGGAGAATGTTGCTCATCACGGGGCGAAACGTCTTAGTAAAGTTGAAGGAGAGAGTGGAGAGGGATGGTGAGGAATGCGAACCCCAGAATGTGTAGATGACATATTTGTCTCCATCAGACGTGACTACAATTAATCTGTAAACAAGCAAGTAATGTTTGATGAGGACCGCAAATGCAAAGGGATAAAACAACATGTTCGAGAACTGTTTAACAACAATGTTATGTGGTACATTTAGGTTTTTGGGGATTCATATCACAGAATTTATTTGCCTATTTTACGACTTTTTACGTTGTTGTTTTTAACAATATTGTATAATCATTCAAGAGTTTTCCAACTATAGAAACTTTAAATTCTTGGTTTCTGCTTTGCTTGGGCAAACATTTTCTATTGACATCTTTTATTATTCGCACTTCTGTTAAACACTAAAAGTTTTAAGATTTTGTAAACAACTAAAACAACATTTCTCCACAAATATGTGGAGACTAGCGTATTCTTTATTCTTTATTATCTGTTGACATTTCATTCCCATGGCATTTGATAGAGATATAAAACGGGGTCATAATATCAAACAAAAGGTTCTCATCATTCGAAACAGTATTTTAATAATTCCGATAGTCTAGCAATTCTTAACTCGCCCTTAAAGAAGACTTACAATATAAATGTAAGGGTATCTTAGGGTAGGGGTTAGTCGGTTTATAGCCGATTCTATTGCTTTGACCTTTCCTAAATGCCAGAGGATATAGAATTACGACGAGTAAACACTGAAAAAACTTGAATTTCAATGACGTTTAATAGCAACATTTAAAACGACTGGGTCAGATTTATTGAAAACATCGAGGAAGAATTGCACCATATTTTTTTGTCTAAATGAATGCAAGTGTTGGTACTGATAGCATATTAATTTTGGAGCGGACTGGCGGGTTTCCTCATATATACTGTGCGTAAAATATCACTTTTCACGGTGCTGTTCTGAGAGGTTATTTTTGGACTTTCTGTGAAACCTAATTTTTTTTATATTCTTGTTAATTAGGTCATAACTAAAATTTTAAGAGCAAAATAAAAAAAATTTGACGGTTTGAATTGTTTTAATTGGCTGTTTATTAAAAATATATTTTAATATATTATGCACTCTTTCAATTATCCAATTAAAACTAGCGATTTAATTTAAATATTTATTATTTGCATAACTAAAAAAAAGGTTTTTACAATTTTTTTTATATATTTTACTGTTTTGTTGCAATAAACGTTCAAACTTTTAATCTAACCTTTGACGTATACATTTATGTTCCCTTAATTAATATATCCATAAAGGTTGCCATGAAACTTAGATCTATTAAAAATTTATTTGACGTTTGAATTGTCATTTTCAGTATACGTATTCTATAATTTTTGTTTAGTTTTTTAAAGTGTTTTTTATAAACAAAAATGAAAAATTGTAGTAAAAGTTACGAAGAAATTCATGAAATTTAACTAAGGACCGGTTTATTCATCTTTAGTAAAGTTTATCGGGCCGATAACTTTCATGTCTTGGCAATATCTAGTATCCAAAGAAATTATTTGTCAAATAAATCAAAAATGAATAAATCGGCCCTAAATAAAATGTGGCACCCTTAGAATTATTGTTTAATAAATGTATACTATACATTTAACCTTAAATTAAAACTTTAAACGTGTATTACAACAAAACAGTAAAAGATATAAAAAATTTATAGTTCTTTTTTTAGGAAATTAACTAATCTTTAATCTGATTTAAAAGGTAAGATAATATTTAAATAAAATCGCAAGTTTTAATTGGAGAATTGAAAGTGTGCATACATATTTTTAATAAACATCCAATTAAAACAAAATTAACCGTCAATTTTTTTTTATTTTGCTCTTAAAATTTTAGCTATGACCTAATTAACAAGAATATAAAAAAAAATTAGTTTTCACAGAAAGTCCAAAAATCACTTTTCAGAACAGCACCGTGATTTAAGACTTTAATGAAAGCTGGTCTATGTCAATAAATTCTGCAAAAATTAATACATAATAATTCGTTGTATTTGAGTTAAAATTTAAGTTTGCACTCTATTTACTTAAAAGTTAAACGACCCAATGTTTAAGATATCTCTTAATGGAATTACCATATTTAAATTGAAAGTTATTATGGTTATTAAAGTGTATGGCATTTAGGCTCGAGTCCGTTTATGGAAAAACCGCGTATAATTTTCCGAACAATGTCGAACAATTAAATCGGAAATCGTATGCGTATCCGTTATGCTCGTTTTGAATAAAAAAACGTTCCACTATGTTAATGGGATTGTTAGGTATGTAAAGTAATGATGGTGGTTCTGTGCCGGCCACAATGTCAGATAATTGCCGTAATAATTAATTTTTCTGCCAAGTGCAATTACTCTGAGTAGGTATGATATGAAAAGAAATGAGTGAATCTGCGGATTTCCGATTTGTAATTGGGGGACATCAATCTAGCTTAATTCTACTTCTTTGTTTATTTAAACTTTATTTACGTTTACTTAAAAATAAAAATATTGTAATTTTTAATAATTGTTTTATAAAAACATGCAAAAAAGTATAGTAATTGGACATTTTATATAGTAATTAGACACATGGACCATAGTTAGTGGACATACAATTTTTATATAAACATAACAACTTTACATCAAATAAAATAAATTGTTAAATATTTTTTAGATAAATTGCTGTTGGGTAATTTTCTTTATTTCATTTTTATAAATATCATATAATTCATATATTTCTTTCTCGGATTCCTCATCCCTTTTCTGGATTCTAAAGGTAACTACTAATTCCTTGGTCTGACTTCTGAAATAGTTTGTTGCAAATATCATTAAGTGTGGTATCTCTAGTTTGTGAAGCATTTATAATGTTTAGGCCGGAACAGGATGATTTATATATCTAATATTTTTTCGGGTGGTACCTAGGTTAAAAGTATTTTCCAAATTTATTAATTTTGTTGCCATTAGTTTTTTATGTTCTCTATAATGCACTGTATTTAAATCACTGTTATTCTGCAAGATGTCCTGTGGCGAAGAAATAACTATATTACTTACTTTCTAAAAATGAATTAGTCAAAAATGTCATAGCGAAAAAGCAGCCACTAATAATTCTCGTCAACAGCAATTTGTATCCAGGACATTTAGCAGTCAATTGCTATGAAATATTATTCGCTGAATCCGAAAATGTCGTCAAAAGTTATAAAAGTAGAACAGTTTTTTAAAATATAATCAATTTTACATATAATATGGAATTGACTATATCTCAAAAACTGCTTAACTTTTACAGTTTTTGACAGTCTTTTCGGATTCAGAGGAAAATTTTACATAAGAATTGGCTGGTAAATGTCCGGGATACAAATAGAGTATGATATTGGACATATGTCCAATAATAAAAATTTACATTTTTTATCAACAAGTAATTGGACACTGGCGATTTTACTGGTTGTTTTCAGAATTAAAATTAAAACGCATGAAAGTGACAATGTTTAAACCATGAGAAACGCATTTATACCACACACTGATCTGCACACTTTTTAGAAATATTTTTTATTGTAATTTAAACACAGCCCTGCTCTTAACAAAAAAAAAACAAAAATCTTACCACCAAAGTAACGTGCGAACTTTTTTGTCCTATATTGGTCCCAAAATAAAGTAGTATATTATTACCGACTGAGATATTTATAATTGTATCTAATGATTTGACTTTAAGGTAACTAAAGGGTTTTTCATTTAAAGCGTCATAACTTTAACCCTAAAAATAAGGCTGCTCTGGAATGTAAATGTCAAATCTTGACAACACATTGTGTCAAATTTATATGGACAGATAACAATTTAACAGCGCTTAGAAATAATTCGTATTTACCATCAAAATGCATGTTCGGTTTGCCAAACATTTTGCAAGTTGCGAGAAATATAAAGTTTATCGTTTAAGAAAAAACTGGTTTACTGGCAAATAAGTCAACTTTTGTGCATCTAAAGGATCATGTGAAATCTCAGGTTTACAAAAATAAGCCACGAACAATTCTCGACCTTAAACGAAACATTAAACGCACTATTCAAAGTATACCACGCGATATTTGTAAAAGAATAGTAGAAATTAGGCCTTCATAATGCATTCAGTCAGGCAAAGTCGAGGGGGACATTTAAACGATATTATATTTAAAACATAATGTCATCGATCGTTCTTCAAAATAAAATATAGATTACGGGATTATAACATGTAGTTATTTTTTTATCTCATTTAAAAGTTCTGACGCTCTAAATGAAAATCCCTGTATTTATAAAACTTTTGTTTTTAGAGTATTAATGTTAATTGTCCAATAACTGTCTACTTTACCCTACCCCATTTTTCTTGTGCCAATGTTTCTTTACTAACTATATGCCCCTACCATCACAACTGTCATTCTCAATTTTTTGTACCACCTCTTTTTTTTGCAGATTCGAATAGATTATGAAATTCTGAATTTAGCAATATGTACATGTATACCTTTTGGGATGATAGTTTTGAGTGTTATTAAATTTTAAAGTTTAATTTTTTTATTTCCAAACCAAATGGTATCACTTGGTAGATCCGGACCTCCATTCTCATTGGGAAACATTTTTGCTAATGTGGGAAGAAGGGGGTTTTGCACAAATTCCAAATAATTTTCTCCTGTCATATTCTCGTCAAAGAAAAAAGGACCTATGATCAGATTTTACACCATTTCTGCCTATACAGGGTGCAAATTCCCAATACCGACAAAAAGTGAATGTACAGGGTGAGTTTTAAGTTGACGCGTTCCTTTTAACAGTGTGTAGAAATCAGCTAGACAAATAAATATTTTAAGTAACTTTTTTATCAAAACTCAAAAATAAAAAAGTTATAGCCCATCAAAGTTTAATTAAATTTTAAGCCGGTCCTGGCTATTGTTAATGAAATACATAACCATGAAAATATCAAAATAAACAATGTAAAATATCATATTTGACAACAAAGTTTAACATAACCATTTAAATCAAATTGACATTTTGCAATAAAAAATGTCATTATTTACTTAAGTTGCAGCATTGCATTTTGACGACACTCTCCATAAATTAGTAACATTTCCACTAATTCATTATTTCTATAATTATGAACCATTTTTAACAATAATTGAGGCCCAAAAAACTGACATTTTTCATTGCTAAATGTCATTTTGATTTAAATGGTTATGTTTGTTGTCATAGATGACATATTCGTATTGTTTATTTTGTTATTTTTATTTTTATGGTTATGTTTTTTGTTAACAATACCCAGGACCGGCTCAAAATATAATTAAACTTGGAAGGCCTATAACTCTCTTATTTTTGAGTTTTGATAAAAAAGTTACTTAAAATATTTATTTGTTTATCTGATTTCTACACGCTGTTAAAAGGAACGCGTCAACTTAAAACTCACCCTGTACATTCACTTTTTGCCGGTATTGGGAATTTGCCTCTACTACCCAATGAGGATTTTGTTCTAAAAATTTGACATTTCCAAGAATGGTTTATTGTTTGTCGTTAACTCGTTAATAAACTTTGGCGTTTATCAAACTTGGTACGTTGTTTATAATTTACATTTAAAAAGGTCGATTTTAAAATCCTGGCGTCAAAATCAAATCCTACGAGGATTTAATTGTCACCTACCCTGTTTACTTTGCACTTACATACAAATCCTCGAACCCTCTGTATAAAAAGAACCTCATCACAATCGTGACATTTAAGTCGCATAAAGCCTCGCTAATAAAAATGTAGCTTTGACGGCGCCAGTTCAAAGTGACTACTCTCACTTCAGTATAGGTGGAAGAGTCAAAGTTTGCGGAGAGCTGGGCAAACAAGGACTCCATGCATTGCTGAACACCGCAACACCTTCGCTAAACAGCGCGACACAGGACCAAGACACCGCCACTAGGTGGACATCAAAGGATCAAGAGAGTCCTGCATCGGTCAGTCTCCGCTGACAAAGGAACTCTTTGACACCCAAGCCAACTTGCGCCAAGTTTAATTAACGCGCCTTCAAGAAGAACTTTTGATTCGACTCGGCCCCCGTCTGACCACCCCCGAAGTGTTTACACAAACGAGTGACTACAGTTACAACTTTCAATACACTTGTGATGCGAGCTTTGACTATGCTCCCTTCCGCTAAACCCACTGTTTCAAAGCGGCCTGTCATTTACAATATTATTTATGAGTTTTCTTAAGGGGTTTTCTATTTTGTTAAAAGGGTAAAAGAAATAGAAATGCAGATGAAAAGTGACTTATAAGCCCTTAAATATTGGACCTATGTAATTTTATGCCGTTTTTTACATTCAAAATTTAATATGGAAATGGGCTTAAGTGTCACTTAGGAAAACCCGGATGGACGATATCATAAGTTTGTTGCCTTGTATACATCTAAATAGTGGATTGTTTTATAATAATTTAAATTATAACGAGAATAATAATAATAATTTAAATGAAGATGATGACGTTTGTCCAGCAGAATTAGTATTTGATGAATAATGTATAAAAATATTTTTGATTATTATGAGGTAGGTATGTACCTGCATGTGCTTTGTTTTGTTGATTAATAGTTTATTCTAATAAAGCTAATGCACTCGCACCAGGGGCATAAACATCATGTTCCAATGGATACCTGGACACATCAACATCCCAGGCAACGAAATGGCAGATGCGGCCGCCAAAGAAGTGTTACACCCAATAAGCCACGTAAGGGTACCACATAGCTAAAACAAACTATTAGAGACAAAACAATGGAAAAGTGGAACCATGAGTACAACAATGAAATAAGAACAAAAGGATAATGGTACGGAAAAATCCAAGCAAACATTCAGTTAATACCATGGTTCCACAAAACAAAACTTAAAAGACAAGCAACAACAAAAATAATTTGAAACAGGACGGAACAAACAAGACAACAAACCGAAAAAGACACTGGAAGCAAAATCATGGACCTACTAAAAAACATAGACCAGACCTACCACAAACTAAAGAAATTCTTGAACAAACTTCCCAACTTGTAAATAAACGTCGAACTTATGGTTGCATAGCCTTAGGCTAAAACCTTTTGCTGTAATACTGCACTAAATTGAATAAATAAAAAAAAATTAAAATTGTCAGTCTTTTTTAATCTTCTATTACAGCACTTGCAATACGAAAGGTTCCATATTTCGATACTGATACCAAAAACTCATCTGGTTTATTAGTGAAATTGGTCGAATTATCAAATGGCCTCATTAAAATTTAACCGTCTCGATGATTGATGTACATGCTGAGGATAGAGCAACGAACAAAAATAAAATGCGCAACATCCCTCTCCCTCCTGCTATTGTTGGCCGAAAAATATCCGATGACGAGTGGAGTCAATTAGAGTAAAAGCGCGATTCGTACGAACATACACGTCGGTATCATTTATTCCATGCATACCAATTCGGTCAAACAAACAAACCGCTAATAATTGGCCGACAGAAATATCTGCACAGTATATATTCATATAGTATAGAATATGAATGGTAATTTGGTACTCTCCGCGCCCTGCGGGCGTTTTTTCTCGACCATTCAGCTGTCAAGCCGCTTATTCAATTTTATGTGCCATTCTGTGCTCACTTACGTATAAAAGGATTTCGACTAAGGCCTTTTTTAATATCGAATTATTAAAAACGGCGACTTTAAAATCAGAGAGGCACCCCCTAAGCCATGTCAGTCAAATGCAAAATTTTTAGTTTCCCAAGGATTTAAAGTACACACAACCAAGCTTATATGGAATCACCAGTAATTACGAGAAACAGTATTTTACTTAAAAAAAAATGAATTGAAAATAAAAAGCACCTTATCCTAAACAATTGTATTACAAAAATATTTGAATTTTTAATATTAGTTTTATAAAAACATGCAAAAAAGTATAGTAATTGGACATTATGTATAGTAATTGGACACATTGGCCATAGTTATTGGACATATAATTTTTATAAAACAACTTTACAGCAAATAACTAATTTTTTTTATTTCGTTTTTGTAAATATCATATATTTCTTTCTCGGATTCCTCATCCCTTTTCTGGATTATGAAGGTAACTACTAATTCCTTGGTCTGACTTCTGAAGTGTGGTATCTCTAGTTTGTGAAGCATTTATAATGTTTACGCCGGAACAGGTTGATTTGTATATCTAATATTTTTTCGGGTGGTATGTTAAAAGTATTTTCCGAATTTATTAATTTTGTTGCCATTACTTTTTTATGTTCTCTATCATGCACTGTATTTAAATCACTGTTATTCTGCAAGATGTCCTGTGACGAAGAAATCACTATATTACTTACTCTCTAAAAGTAAATTAGTCAAAAATTATCATAGCGAAAAAGCAGCCCCTAATAATTCTCGCAGCAATTTGTATCCCGAACATTTAGCAGTCAATTCCTATGAAATATTATTCGCTGAATCCGAAAATGTCGTCAAAAGTTCTAAAAGTAGAACAGTTTTTAAAATATAATTAAATTTACATATAATATAAAATTGACTATATTTTAAAAACTGCTTAACTTTTATAGTTTTTGATGGTCTTTTCGGATTCAGGGCACAATTTTACATAAAAATTGGCTGGAAAATGTCCGGGATACAAAAAGAGTATGATATTGGACATATGTCCAATAATAGAAATTTACATTTTTTACCAACCAGTAATTGGACACTGGTCATTTTACTGTTAGTTTTCATAATTAAAATTAAAACGCATTAAAGTGACGTCATGTTTAAACCGTGAGGAACATTTATACCACACACTGATCTGTACACTTTTTAGAAATATTTTTTATTGTAATTTAAACACAGCCCTGCCCTTAAAAAAAAACAAAAATATTACCACCAAAGTAACGTGCAAACTTTTGTAGTGTATAGGACCAAAAATAAAGTAGTTGTATATTATTACCGACTGAGATATTTAATTTTATACAGCGTCATCTAATGATTTGACTTTAAGGTAACTATTTATAGAATTCTTGTTTTTACAGTATTAATGTTAATTGTTCAATAACTATAAAGTGTCCGATAACTGTTTACTTTACCTATGTATTCAGCGACTTATACAAAAAATAAGGAAAAAACACCCTAACAAATTGTCCAATATTGTAAAATTTATATTCCATCTCAATTTATACGAATTATTTAAAAAATTGTACAAAAAAGTAACATTTATTTTTAAAATATTTTATCTCTTTTCTTGACAATATTGTGCAAATGGTTAAATAAAAAATCTTGCTGTTTCCAAAAAATTATATAAAATTGACTTAAACAAACTAATTAGAAAAACCAATCCAACTATCTTGGATAACGTTATCCTAGGACATTTATAGAACATTTTGCACAACTTTGTGTAATGTTTTTCAAACGGATTTTTCTCTGTGTATAAGTTTGGTTGTGTGTAAGTTTAACACTGAACTCCCCAAATTTTAATTGTTTACCACACATTTTGTCGTTTATATTATGATTGATTGTTGTTAAACGTCCGAGCCAAAAACAATAAATTTGATTGCCGGTGTTGTTAAAACGGTGTTTTAATATTTAAGCGACGAGCTGCTGCCAGCTCGACAATAAAACCTGATGCACACATGTGTTTTGCCGCAGTAAATCCTGAAAATTTTACTGCAATTTCATGTGCCACCAGTTATTGTATCGGATTACTTATTAAGTCGGGCCAGTGCGAGAGATTTTCCTGCATGCCGACAGAAAAGCGTTTTATTACCGGGAGAGTCGTTTTTATGGTAATCCTGCAACAGCAGGATTAACAAATGTCGGTTAGAATCGTAGAAAATACGAAAAGAACAACTCAAATTCAAAATTTCTTACATCCGAAAAAAATGAAATTTAAGTTATCAATGTGTATAAATAAATAAGATAGAAAAAATTAATTTATCTCAAGAATAGAAAATTGCAAAGATAGAAAAAATTATTTTATCCCAAAAATAGAAAATTGCAAAGATAGAAAAAAATTAATTTATCTCAAGAATAGAAAATTTTAAAGATAGAAAAAATTAATTTATCTCAAGAAAAGAAAATTGCAAAGAGAAAAAATTAATTTATCTCAAGAAAGAAAATTGCAGGAAAAAAAATCTTTTTTAGTTACAAGATTATTTTAGGACAAGTTATCAATAGGTATGTATAAATAATATAAAGAACGAAAAAAATTAATTTATCTCAGGAATAGAAAATTGCAAAGATAGAAAAACTTATCTTAAGAATAGAAAATTGCAGAGATAGAAAAAATTAATTTATCTTAAGAAAAGATAAAAAATTAATTTATCTCAAAAATAGAAAATTGCAAACATAGAAAAAAATTAATTTATCTCAAGAATAGAAAATTGCAAAGATATAGGTAAAAAAATAATTTATCTCAAGAATAGAAAATTGTAAAGATAGAAAAAATTAATTTATCTTAAGAATAGAAAATTACAAAGATGGAAAAAATTAATTTATCTCAAGAAAAGTAAATTGCAGGAAAAAAAATCTTTTTTAGTTGCATGATTATTTAAGTTATCAATAATATCCAATATGTATAAATAATATAAAGATAGAAAAAAATTAATTTATCTCAGAAATAGAAAATTGCAAAGATAGAAAAAAAATTTATCTTAGGAAAAGAAAATTGGAAAGATAGAAATTAATTTATCTCAAGAATAGAAAATTGCAAAGATAGAAATTAAGGACAAAAAGTCTTTTTTAGTTACAAGATTAGTTAAGGACAAGTTATCAATATCTATAAAGAAAAAATTAATTTATCTTAAGAATAAAAAGAGAAATTAAAAAAAAATCGAAATTATTAAAAAATAAAGAAACTGGCAAGAAAAACATTAAAAATCAAAAATGTGTTCATATTATTTGAATAGAATTGAAAATAGCTCACAATAAACACAAATACAAAATAATTAGGTATGTACATAACAATGTTTAAAAAAATCAGAAAAAAATAGTA